GCCTGGGATGATTCGTAAGCGGCTTCCAAACCTTCTCAGGACACGCAGAATGATGGGAGTTGTGGTCCAGAGGCCAAACGTGAGGCAGACGCCGAGAGCGTGTATAAAAACGGGGTGGGGTGGGGAGGGGATGTGTGTTTTGAGGAAGGGTCGTAAGGGTGTGCCTAATCCATTGGATGCTTTAGCCTTTACGTGAACAAGTCAGCCCAGAACCTTTGGTGTGACATTCAGCAAAATACGGTTAAAAAAAAAAAAGGTATGTAAACTTAAGCATCCTAGATAAATATACAGGTGTAATAATCTTGCAAAACGTGTTCCTAAGACAACGGGAGCATACAGGGGAAAAGATTAACAAAAATTGTCAGAGTATATTCAGGGACTGAAATAGAGCACGGTAACAAGGTCAACCAACGAACAGGCATAGCCGCTAAGTCAGCCAATGAGGACCGTTTGGAAACTGAAACTAGAAGTAGCCTAGGCGTGGCTCTGCGGCTCTGAAGCTACCGTTGAGCTCTGAGTCTGTCTACTGAAAGAGAAATTAACTTGCTTGCTCGTCCGCTGAAGTTGAGTCACTTGTAACACAGGTCTACTTCTGTTTGAGTTCGCTCCGTGTTGGAGAAATCTACAACTGGTATTGTAAAATTGACTGAATATGTTTATAAAGATGTTAACTGAAGCCTCAGCCATCTGTGTTTTTTTTTTATTCTTCTGGCGCTAAATTGACACTGCAAAACTCTGAACACAAATTTAGCGTGGGGTCAACTGCTACTGAAAGTATTCTGCACTGAGAAATGCTACAGAATAAAAACAGAAGGAATCCACGAGGGAGATACTTGCAGGTAGAATACCCTGACTGACCAGGTAACCATCTCACCGCCACAGGAGGGCCGGACCAGCTTAAAGGGGGGAGAAAGCTCAGCCGTTGGCCCAGATGATTCGGGGCACCTCGCCATTCGGGGAGTTAGCACCGAAGAAGCTGCTCTGGTTTTCTCATTAGCTTAGCGGCAGTTAATTTCATGTTTAATATATATATATATATATACCGTATATACTCGAGTATAAGTCGACCCGAATATAAGCCGAGGCACCTAATTTTGCCTCAGAAAACTGGGAAAACTTATTGACTCGAGTATAAGCCGAGTTTTTCAGCACATTTTTTTGTGCTGAAAAAAAAACCCCTTGGCTTATACTCGAGTGAGATTCCCTCTGAAAAAAATAAAAATGGTGTGGAGCTCCGGAGTTGGGCAGCCGCTTCCCTGCTTCCGTGTTTCCTTTGCAACTTGTAAGTATGGAGGTAATCGGAAGCAGAAAAGTTCTTGCATGAGGATATATTGTTTTTTCTTTATTTAACTGTTTTTAGGCGGGGGGAAGTCCCACCGTCATGTGAGAATGCTCAGACACGAAATCTATCTGCCTGAAAATAAGTGTGTGTGTGTGGGTGGGGGATTTTAACAGAGGGAAGACATTGGGAGAAGGCAAAAGCGACGGAAGATCCTTCAGGGGAAACTGAGGGGGAGACTCACCCTTGGTCCAGATGAGCCCCCTTCCCCGCCCTAAGGAAGCAGAGGCAGCCAGCAAGGGCAGGCAAGCCCCGCTTCGCGGACTCCGTCCGTCCTCGCTCCCACCCACTTACCCACCCAAACCCACGAAGTCCCCCAACTGCGTGGCCCAGAATCGCCCTCCCCTCAGGGGGCAGCAATGACGCCCGGTGTTTCCTGAAACAAGAAGCTCCGCTGTGCAATGAAAGCGCCCTGGCTCTAGGCTCAGAAAACAACGCGAGCCGAGGTGGCTTCGTTTCCTCAGCCCCGGCTGCTTTCAGTCCGCTCAGGAGGAGGAGGAGGAGGAGGAGGGGGTGGTGGCAGCGGCTCGCGTTATTTTCTGAGCTCTAGGCTCGCGATCGCAGAAAACAACACGAGCCGCTGCCGCCACCTCCTCCTCCCCCTCCTCCTCCCAAGCGGACTGAAAGCAGCTAGGGCTGAGGAAACGAAGCCACCT